GTTCATTACTACGTGAATACGTTTACATTTGTAGACCTCTCTAATAAACTAGAGATCTTTATTTGGTGTCGAAATATGCTCGTTTTTATTATTATTATTATTAATATTATATTATTATTATTATTATTATTATTATTTCAACTCTCTCCAGTTGTCGGGTGTTCCACTGGGTAACGTTGTTTGTGTCTCTGCAACTTCCCTTATTATCATTATTATTATTATTATTATTATTATTATTGTCTCTTTTATCACAGTCTTTGCTGGTGTTCTTTTTGTGCATCAGCCGGGCCCAAACCATGCACCTAGAGCGTCAGTCACTTAAGTCAATCATTCTGTTCATACACTGAGCACCTTTATAAGGATTCGGGGCGATCCCAGCATGCAGATCTTTTGAATCTCTGTCATAGTAGCTCTCTCTGATACTTTCTTGATGTTTTCTATCACACTCTTATTATTATTATTATTATTATTACTATTATTATTATGCTTAAGAGGTACAAGAAAGAAGAGAAGAACATTTGAGACATTCGATACAGATTTTTTAATTGACAATGCTGTGGCAAATGTAGGCGAGACGTTTTTAAAATTTGTTTTTACAGTTTTTTAGAGTAAGAGTGTCATTTCCCTTCTCATATATTTTTTTAATGTATTTCACTTTTATAAGGATAATTTTGATACAAGTTTTTTTTTAAAATTCTTTCAATACGAACGAGTAGTTGCTTTCGCGATTTTTATATGTAGGTCGTTTTTGTTATCAAAGTTAGTTTGGGTCTGATACGAGTCTGATCCTAGAGAACCGAAAAAAAATATTATTATTGTTATTATTATTATTATTATTATTATTATTACTGAAGATTCGTTCTCGGAAAACTGTTGGCTTCCTGGAACATATAACATCCGCCCATATATTCGCGCAAAATGGAAGCCAAGGTTTAACTGAACATCATGAGTTTAGCTTATTCCTACAATGAACCACTGATTCCATAAATGAAAGGCCAACTGATATTTTTCCCGATTTTTTCAATGGAAAAAATTATCCTTTTTCCAAAATCACTTGAGCATTGCTCTATCTTCAGTTTAGTGATAATATTCCTCAGTGTACGTAATATTCAATAGTTTCTGTATGATTTTTATTGTGACAGTAAACGTGGAGAAGCTAGGATTTGTGTGAAAATGGCATGGCGTAACTATTGCACCCTGAATATCACAGCTACGTCCACGGGGATATTCGAAAATGTTACCACTAAGTTTAACCCATTTTGTGATGGAGAGAGAGATGCATGGGCTTCAGGAGAAGATCAGTGCATGCAATACTATGAAGACCCCATTCAGTCTACTTCGCCTACTCAGCCGGTTTGTAGCAGAGTAGGACGCCGCGAGTATTCCATGACTGTTCTTGGTCTCTTTGGCAGAATCTTTGGCTTTATGCTCTTGCACTTTGTGTTCGGGAGTAATTAAAACCTAGCGCATGTGGACTATCGTTAACATAGTGCCAATCAATTCATTTGGATAGATAGATACTTTTAGATAGATAGATACAGAAGACTAGGTGACCGATTCCGAGAACACCTTCACGACGTGGAGAGGAATGGCAGGGACACATCAAAACCAGTCGCTAGACATTTTAATTGACCTAATCATTCTAAGCAACATAAGGCAATCTGCGGTCTTTCCTTACACTTACGTAGCATGAAAAGCCGTAAACTCTTGAACAAAAGCTCATCTTTCAAACCGGCAGTCTAAATCCCACAGGTATCAACGAACGCTTTTCATTCCACTAATTTATTCGTGTTTTTCTCGTTGCCATGTTCCCACCAATAACGTAGTTCCATTTTCTTCCTTTAAAAGCACACACAACCCACAATTCCTCTATTCGCTCCGACGAAGGCCTAACGCTCGAAACGTCAGCTTTTACTGGTAAATACTTCGCAACTGAATTGCGTATTCACAGATATAAAATAGAAATTACTGTGTATGTGTATACATCTTATTATTAAAAAATACGTAGTTCGTCGTAAGGGGGAACTTGTACGTTATTTGTGGCTGTTAACTATTCTGGCCGAAGCAACAAAAAAACTGTTTTTAAGTTTATTCGTCTTGCAAAGTGGCAAAGCAAAGGTACGCTCGTGCCTTAACCTATGAGAGCTTACATAACGGGGTGGCAAAAATTTACTTAATTTGTGCTGATGATCGTTCATTATATTGCGAAATGTTGCTGTACACATATTTTCATGGTGGTCTTTCACAGTTGGAAGATTCATAATAGCTAAGGCCTGTTCGTATTGCATACCAGGACAAATTATTTTCATGGTTCTTTCCTGAATACGTTCTAGTTCTTGGTGGAGGTATTCAGGGAGAAAGTAATGAAAAACTTGTGCTGCATAATCGATTACGGATCGTACACATGCCGTATAAAAGAGGCAAAGGTCTTTTGGTGAAACGTGAGCTCTTTTTAGCTGAACAAGGAAATAGGTTCTCTTCGCTGCTTCCTTGGTAATCTCAGTTATGTGAGCGTTCAATTCCATTTCAAATCTTTCGAGATGGTAACACCCAAGAGTTTGGCTTGTTTAACCAATTTCATGTGTTTACCATCGATTGAAACTGGATCGAAATCCTTTGGAACTGAAGAGAAACCAATTCGCAGCTCTTTGCAATTGTCTGTGTTTAGTTTAAGTCTGTTTTCCTTCGACCACCCTATTATTTGGTTCGTGGTATTTTGAGCTCCATTGGGGTGACCTTTCTTCACAACTTCTGAGGCCGTCATATCGTTGACAAATCTCCATAGGGGGGCGTTGATGATCGCTAAATCGTCTGTCATAGTCAAGAAAAGCCAGGGAACTAATTTGGTACCTTGCAGGACACCAGATGGAACAGAGCCCCATTCCGATACGCACCCATCAAGCATCTTAATTCTCTGATAACGGTCTGACAGGAAATCAATTATCCAGTTGATGACGCTAGGCATTATGTCATAACTTATTGACGAGTATACCATGGTCGATCAAGTCAAATGCCTTCTTAGAATCGAACATTTATTCCCAATCTCGATAGTAGAAATATGGCCCATTTTCAGAGCTGCAAAATACGCGATTCTTCGCTCACAGGGAAGTTTGAGGAGAGCTGGCGAGAGGTTTGTGATGTGTCTGGTACTTATTATCATTTGTGCCAGGCCCCTTGCCGATCTCTCGCCGGCTCTCTCCAGGGCCGGGCCCCCATTTTTCTCGCGGAAAAGAAAACACTCTTGCCGCATCGTATATGATGAGTGCCCGCTCGCTAGCTATTTTGAATTCGGTCCGGCTATAACCACACAGTGTCAACTGCATTTGAATACCTAAAATAACCACATTTTCCGGGCTCCATAACGTGATAAAGCCGCGCGGGATGTTGGGGGAGAACACGAGGAAAGTTAAGTCACGAGCTGAAGGCGAGTGATCTTACAAGCTTTCCGAGTGTTTTCTCCCAACATCCTTACTGGCTTTATTACGTTATAGAACCCGGGAAAAAAAGCTAACATGTTCCTGAAGTCAAACAATGAACTAGTTATCTAGCAGACCATTATCAACTTTGCAGATCTGTTTTAGTTTTGTCTATAACACTGACTTAAACTTGATACGGGATGACGTTTCTGAGCTGATCTCCTAACATGAGGCGCAGCGGTCAGGAGTTGAACTCGAGACGACCGCGCACCATCTAACCCTATTCAGAAACAACATGAACGTCATTTTTTTGCAAACTACCGGAGAACAGGACTGAACTTGTATTATTCGCTCAGTCCATCTTCAAGGACTCAAGTTCGATTCAGTGATGAAGCAAAAGCAAAACGGAGACTTCAAATAGCTGAAATTAGCATTTTCATGTATTCAGTTACTCATTCTAAACATGTTTTACGCCAACCACTCACCTGAAATAAGAAAAAAACTTCAAAAAAAAAACTTTGTTTATTTTGTCGGAATAACCAGTGATACCCCACTTTATTTCTTTTGAATTTGAGAATGATGTTCCCCAAGTGAATGAATGTAGTCTTTATTAAAAATAAGTAGACTCATCAGACGTGGGTCTTTACAGTCAATGAGCATTAAATAAAGATTATCTGTACAATCGAGTATAAAGATGTGATTATAGACATTTAAAACTTCCTCTGTTCATAAAAATGTTGATAGATCTTTCCGTCTTTATTTGGTGTAAACGGAACTCATGTCCCAGTTTTCTTGGTGTTCTTATCCGTTTCGGCAGCAGCAAATCATGGAGTTGATGGTTTTCTGTAGTTATAATCTTATTAAACAGAACTGAGTTGATCTTTCTTCTCAATTAAGGTGGCTGAACACAGTCAGTTTGCGCGCGCTTTTGCAGATGCAACTCAGCGCGCGCACAGGGACTGTAAAAAACAGACATGCCGTCAATGGAGCGGTCATTTTATTTACTCAACACGCACCCGCACTATCTATGCTATATTTTTCTCTATAGTTGGCGCAGTGTATTGAAGGCTTTAAGCTTTTATTGCAAAGATATGTTAGAAAAGTAAACGGTACAAAGAACCCAGCAATTCTCAGCTTTTTCGTCGTTACCGAAAGAACCCAGTTAGATGCAGCGCATGCGTAGTAAGTAAAAAAATTGCGATAGAATTGAAAATTTCCTTCTCGGAAAATACTTTAAGAAATAAGTAACTGGAGTATTGAAAAAAATTGATTTTAAACAAAAGGAAATCGAGTGAACCTTCAACAAGGGATAATTAAAGATCTCTCTGTGAAATTGTTGGCAAAATGGTGTTAACTTGTGAGTATCGTTACAAGTTCGTTGCATGCAAATTATAAAGAAAATCCAATCACTTGATCTTCTACAAAGAAACAAAACCGATTTTAATTGCTTGTTTATATCTATTCATGTTGCCATGGCAACGGCACATACGTCAGCTTAACTATCAAAAAACAAAGTTTGTGTTGTTAACTTGCTTGCTGCCAGTTTTGGCGACCGAGAGATCAAGGGTTTCAAAGAAAATGGTGAAAGAAACAAAGGTATCAAATTCTGTATTCAGCTGATATCCTGAGATCTGTCCAGGTGGTGTAGCTGTATCTATAAGTTCAGTTACAGAAGTTATCTATTGGAGCCAATTCCATTCCAAATACTTCTGATAAGCAGATCCCCAGACTTCTCTGCCATACGCAAATAAGGATAAGACGAGGGAATCAAGTAGCTTGTTAAGTTGGTCTTGAGAATAACCATAAAATTTGCAGATTCTCAAAATGTACAGTCAACTACTTGCTTTGGCTATAAGGTTGTCAACATGGATGTCCCAGCAGCGAGGGTTTTCTTGAAATGTGATACCGAGTAACTTCAACCAGTTTTTACGTTCAATGCCAGGTACCAGTGGTGGGTTAGGCATGGTACTCTTGCTGCAGATCAACATTTCCCATGTTTTCGAAAGATTTAAGGTCATTTTGTTACTATTAGCCCAATGTTTCATACTGTTGACTTCGTTAGTTGTTGTATCAATACTGTGTTTGGTTACAGGGATGCTAATGGTAATATGGTCATTAGCAAATTTCATCATAAGGTTCCTTCTAGGGTTGGCTAACTGCACATCATTAACCATCAAAGAAAACAGAGTGGGGCTAAAAACCGCTCCTTGAGGCACGCCTTTATTAATGTCTTAGAACTCAGTAGTTAATCCGTCAACCACAACTCCCTGTTTTCTGAGACTCCGAAAGTCAAGAATCCAATTGATGACGTAAGGATAAATGCCTGGCATCTTGAGTTTATCGAAGAGGATGTCATGAGGTACAGTGTCAAAATGCTTTACTTAAGTCAAATGACAGTACCCGTGCGAAGTCTGCCATGGCGTCATTGTCCTGCCATTTCAACCAATTGTGCTGTGACTTTAGGAGCGCCATTATAGTGTTGGAACTTTCTCTGTAGGAAAACTGGTCAGGTCAGTGACTCGAAAGCCTCTGTATCTCAGACCCGACTAGTAACTTCTCTAATATTCTAGTTATGATATTTGTAAGGGAAATAGGTCGTAGCTGGTTGTAGCTCGTTAAAGGTGATTCCCTTGGAATAGGAGTGACATTGGCGAGTGTCCAAATACAAGGCACGGGTTGTTACAGCAACGAACGATTGAACAACCTCGTGATAACTGGAGCCAGGAATTGGGTGAAATCTTTCCACATCCAATAAGGAAGCCCAGTCGATGTACGCTTTTGCTGTGTAAGGAATCTTTCGACCGAGTGGACTTCGAAAGCTGGGATACGAGTGTCAGCCGGAATGAGAATCGGCCGTGGGCTGAATACTAATTTAATTTAATTTATTAGCTTTGCCAAAAATACATACAATATAGAACGCGGATAAATTACAAAAACAATAACGGGCAGGCAACCACAACAGCGATAGCCAATTACTGTGGTCCCAAGAGTAAAACGATTACATCAATAGTAGTAGTAGTAGTAGTGAACTTTATTTGTGTGTCGCGAGAAAATCTAGCGCGTAGCACTAATTGGGGACACACAGGGTAACAACGCTTAAAAAAAAGTTAGAAATC